GGCTCACGGGCCCAGCCGCTCCGCGGCATGTGGGATCTTCCCGGACCGGGGCACGAACCCACGTCCCCTGCGTGGGCAGGCGGACTCTCAACCACTGCGCCACCAGGGAAGCCCAAGCATGATATTTTTAACCCAGCATAGTTGGAGTCAAGAAGTGAAGTTCAGCATGATCTGATGGGATCTGTGGCCCTCTTCATCTCCACAGCAGACCGGAGGGGGCCAGAGCAGGGCATCTATGAGAACAGCATGTGTGGCCTCAGCTGCTTACCGTCCACTCTAGGGCTGGGGTGCAGTCCTTTGCTCCTTTGCTGTTGCCTAAATGTATGTTCCTTGTCTACACTTGAAATCCGAGTATGGGAAACACTCGCTGTGTCAGCGATTAAGACAGCCCAGCGTCCATGCTCCAAAGGGAACCTCGTGGTCCTTTTCTTCACGCTTCCTCAACATCGTGTAGTGTGTCCTTGGAAGTGAAAGTGAAAGTGAAGTGCCAGTGTGAGTTCTTGGAACCGAACTGACAATGGAGAAAAGAAGAAACAGCAAAGTGGGAAGGGCTGGAGTTTTGCTTTCAGAAAGAACTGGGTTATTTTTGCCTCTACACTTGCAAGATCATGACTTTGGGCTCATGACTTAACCTATCGGAGCCTCAATTGTGTCAGCCACAAAATGAAGCTATTCATACCTACCTGGACGAAATATAGGAAGCAGTCCCTGCAATGGCTGGTGCCTGGAGGAATTAGGCCGGACCCCCTTTCTCCCAGCACCCAGCTACTCCACCAGCAAGATCATCCTGACTCTGACCCACAGTGTTCCCATCTCCCAGGCCCCATCGGGTCTTGCCTGGACCACCTCCACACGCTTGCACTGCTTCCCTGCTTCCTCTCACGCTCCCAGACCGTTTCCCCACAGCATCCCTGGATACGAAAATACAGAAATTTCTTACAAGCTTAGTCCACACCTACACTTACTTCTCCTGGAGTTTCCATCACTAATCATTTAATTGCCCAAATCCAAGGTCGAAAGGTAGCTTCTCCAGCTGTTGGCTCCCAGAGGTTTAGAAGACTCAGCTGAAGAGCGTACTGTTCTAGAAGCAGTCAGTGCTCTCTGAACGTGGTCTGCAGTCAGTCCCTCTTCAGTCAGCCCCAGCTTTGTGGATACGGGATACACACACTTCAAAACAATCACGCCTGCATGTGGATGGTGCAAACTCCAGACATTTCCTCCAGTCTTAACAAAACCAAAAGACCACTCTCTCTGTCTGTAAGTATAAACACTCACCAAATCACAGCATCAATCCCAGCTGACTGCTTTTCCACTGCAGTTATTCACTGAAGCTCTGGTGGGTGTAAGGAGCTGGGCTGGGGATGGAGAATACAGAAATAAATACATCCCAGACCTCAAGAAATTAACTGTAGAATCAGTCAGGTTAGGCCAACTATGCTTCTTTAAAGAACACCGGGAAATAATGGTGAATTCTGAGAAAACACTTGGGGCCTCACCCTCTTGTCTCCGTGAGGCCTATTGCTGGCTGGGAATTTGTTTCGTTTCTGGCCTCTGGGGCCCAGATAACACTCCCTGGGTCTTTTAAAGTCTTCTTATTGAAAGTTTTGTCAATTGGGAGATTCTGTGTGTTTATTCGTACGTCTTCATTTCCTCAGTGAGGAAGGCGAGCTCTCCATGGAGTAAAAACTGGTTCGCAAATCGTGGGATGAGTTGGAATCCTTGATGCCACAGCATTGTTATGGGAACAATCTAGATATTAGGGTAAGTGAACGATTTCATGGACTCTTTCTGAAGTAGAGAACTCCAGGAGCGTCTGCTCTAGAAGAAAGTGACATTGAGCTTGGAGCTTCTCTGGCTAATTTGATGGTTCTTGGGACCAATAGTGTTGGGGTGTGGCCCAGGAGTGTCTGTAGCTTCAATGAGCATGTGGGATTGAACTACACTGATCCTACAGGTCAGGTGATGGCCAAACGGTGTCTTCGGGTAAAGTCAAAACTCTTCCCCTATCTAACCACAGAATTCTATCTCTGCTCGCAGTTTGCCTAAAACCAATTTTCTTACCAAGGACAACCGTCTGGATTTTCCTGCATCTGATCCTAGGAGTAACAGCTGCTAAAAACCCATGTGAAATTTACAGCCACTCAAAGCAAACCTTCCTTGCGCTCAGGGACACCTCAAAGAACACTCATCCCAGACTGGGCCCCGCGGTTCGCTGTCCTCTTCCCTGATCTGCATTCTTTCCTCTCTGCCTTATCTTTTACTTTCTGTTTGAATCGGCTTAGTTGTATTTCTCCCCTTGATAGGACAGTGAGAGTGAAAGTTCGTTCTGCCCACGCTGCATAGAACTCAATGCAAGCGCTGTCAGGAATCATTCGACATTAAGGCTGACTTTTAAGTTTGCCAGGAGGGCTTTCTTTGGAGAGAGGGTGAGACGAGCACGTTCCCCTTGAAGAGAGCTGGTGCTGGTGCTGGAATTCAAAGCTCACAAACTGAATTTAAAATTTTTTGGATAGTATGTAGATGGGTGAAGGGACCCCAGACGTTGACACTGGACATCAAACAATAGACATTAGTTTTTTAAAACCAACACTTTTTTTTTCAGCCGTGCTGCAAGGCGTGAGGGATCTTAGTTCCCTCACAAGGAATTGAACCCGTGCCCCCTACAGTGGGAGCGCAGAGTCTTAACCATTGGACCACCAGGGAAGTTTCCAAATCAACACATTTTAATGTACCATTCACATCTTCTTCTTTCTACCATCTACTCCATTTTTTTAAAATAGCCCACTGCTCTTAGAAAACACATTTAAAAATCATTTGTTTCTTGAGTGACTATTGTAGATTTAGTTACCTTGAGTTCTGGGTGGCACTCTGCCTCAGTTTTTTTATTTTTTAAATTTATTTATTTTATTTTACTTATTTTTGGCTCTGTTGGGTCTTTGTTGCTGTGCACGGTCTTTCTCTAGTTGCGGCGAGCCGGGGCTACTCTTCGTTGTGGTGCGTGGGCTTCTCATTGCGGTGGCTTCTTCTGTCACAGAGCACGGGCTCTAGGCGCGCAGGCTTCAGTAGTTGTGGCTCGCGGGCTTAAGTGCTCCGTGGCATGTGGAATCTTCCTGGACCAGGGCTCGAACCCCTGTCCCCTGCATTGGCAGGTGGATTCTTAACCACTGCGCCACCAGGGAAGGCCTGTGCCTCACTTTTTAACAGAATTTTGTTTTATGTGAAAGCCTGTCTTTCGTTTGTTTACACTTTTAATTTGGAGTCCCTGGGAATCTCTAGATGGGCTCCAAAAGCCATATCATCTAATAATATATCTCCTATCTCCTCCTTCTGACACAAAGTGACTTTTGAAACACTTCCATTTTCCCTTTCTGTTTCATGTACTCCAGCCCACTTTTTTTCTCCTCATTTTTTTTTACAGTCCATCATGGAGTATTTGTTTACCAAATGTTACTTTTCTTGGATCACATCTATTTTTTGAGGAGTGCAAAGCAAACAAAGCTTTGAAGCTGTCAGGCTTCATTTTATTTATGCATGAATAACACAAATAACTTGAAAATGACCTAGCCTGTTTTTCTCAGATTTAGATAGAAAAACTGCTTCCGGGCAACGTTTATGCCAAACAGTTCATGCCAAGTTTCCAGTTTTTGTGCCAGCTGGTTTTTGTAGCCAAGTTGTAAACCTTCAGTAAACACGGTTTATAATGAAAGTGCAGACACAACCTGGGCCACGGCACAAGTGGGACTGATGTAAATTTACTCTAAGAATAAAATTCTAACAGGAACAGAACGGGAGAGAAGCAAGCTCTCAAGGGTTCCTACCATAATGCGGAAAGTATACAAGTGATGATATTTGATCGCTAAAATCCCATTAGGCTCGCTGAGGCATTTATGGATTCCCTTTGCCATCACTGCTGAGTAGCCCTGTGCTCCAAGTCACTGCTTATCACTACAAGGCGGCTTTTCCAGAGCTCCCCTCCACTTAACCTCTAATGCTGGGGGGTAGGGTGGGGGGAGGGAGAAAAGTTCAAGACACAGGTGGCTGTGTGCACAGTACATTGATCAAGGTATAAGGGAAAGAATCAAACATTTTCCTTTAAAATCAGTTCAGCAGCATTCATTCAGGTCGACCTTGCGGGATCCCGATTCCATACCTGTGGTGCTGGTGGTGAGTGTTGTCATGTTACTGCACACATGGGACCCTGGGGTCCCAGGCAGCCCTCAGGGGGAGGATAAAGTAAGAACTAGGCTCCTGGGGCAGTGCCATGAGGTGGCTCTTCTCTTTGAGAAGGGAGAGAGTAGTCTCCTTTTCATGAAAAGGGAGAGAGTCCCAGCTTCTGGGGACTTGGGAAAAGTCATTTGCCTTGAGGACCCCTAATTGCCAGAAAGGAAAGGACCCGGGACACAGGATCCAGGACTCATGACCCAGGATCTGTGATGCAGGACCCAGGATCTAGGACCCGGGACCTGAAACTTAGGACCCAGGACCAGAAATCTGTGACCCAGGACCCAGGACTTCCTTCTTAGGTGTAGGATGATCTGCGTTGCTTCATGCGTGGTTGTTTCTCTTGGGTGGTTCTGACTCAATCAGAGCAGAAGGGAGCAGAGGCTTCCAGACACTGGAAGGGGAGAGCGACTTCAGTCACAGCCATGGTGGTCAATAGAGGTGCTCTCTTGCTGTCCTGGATCCGGGGTCCCAACTCTTCACACCATCCCTCAGGGCCACCACGTTGTGGCACATAGACTGTGACCCACAGATGTCATTTAATAAAGAGCGAGTGTGGAAGAGACTTGAATGATATCATAGTGTGTATGAAACGGACATGGGTCAATCTTGGCCAGGAGTCCATCTTCCCAGCTGCAGGTTAATTCAACTGCTCTGAAGTTGTTACTCACCTGCCCTCCATCCAGCGGCTGCCCACCCACCCCTCGACTGTGCCCATGCTGGACAGCCCTCTTCTGGATTGTGGTTCATCACTGCCTGGCACAGCCCTTCACAGCTGCACATGCAGTGGCGATGACCATGATGGCTTAGCAAGTTTCCAGCCTGTTTTCTGGCCTTGATGTGAGGTGGAAAAACCCCAAACTTCTACTTTTATTTGGGAGACAGGGTTTCATGTCACCACTGACAGGCACTCAGTAAATGAGCTGTGGTTTGTGCCTTCCCAGGTATTCTCCTCTTGTCATCCTCAGACCCACACATCTGTCTGTCGTCTCGTGGCTATTTAGTGAACACTTGCTGTGTCCCAGCTCTCCATGTGTTGACCCATTGCATCCTGACTCCATCCTGTGAGGTGGTGCTGCATCTGCTGTTACTCAACTTCACAGGTGAGGGACCTGGGCTCACAGTTGAGGGACCTGAGCTCACAGGTGAGGGATTGAGCTCACAGGTGAGGGACCCGGGCTCACAGGTGAGGGACCCGGGCTCACAGGTGAGGGGTCAGAGGCCCTGGGGGCTTAGCAGTCACCAGCCCTCTGCAGAGCTGCAGAAGGCTTTGCCCAGGTAGCCAGGCTCCAGTGCTCTGACTGCTCATCTCTCTTCATTTCTCTAGATTATTCTGGTCACAGTGGACAACAGGTCAGTTTACAGTCACGAGAATAGGCAGCTCCACATTCCCAGGAGTCTCAGTCTGATGTCTGCAGCCTCCTGCCTTCCTGCCTCAGGCTCTGCATTGGCTCCTCTGGGCTGGAGCATTCTGTGGGGTCTGAAAGCAGCGGAGTCCCATGCACCCCACTCCTGACTCCTCCCTGGCCCTGTGTCTGGGGTCCTTGCCTTGGTCTTGTGTCCCAGGTCCTGGGTCCTGGATCTTGGGTCCTGCTGTTTCTGCCCATCGCCCCTAGCCTCCTATTCGTCTGGCCCTGCTGCCCCTTCTAGCAGCTGGACAGCGGCCAGAGCACACTTCCAGGCTGCGCCCTGTTCCATCCACCCCTGAAGACCTGTGTTCCCCCCACCACACACACACACTGACACGTCACCTCTCACTGCATCTCAGGAAGCCAGGTCTGCAGCGCATGGCGGATCCGTGGGGAAGACGCATCTACACGATTTGTTTCTTTTCCTTGAAAAGGCAGGTTTGCTATTTTGGGCTTTGGCTTGATTTATTCAGTTATCACTTAACTGCAGAACATTCTCTCCTGTGAAACAGAGTCCTGTCCAGCTGCAGTGACCCTCCTGGGTGGGAGTCAGAGCCCAGCCCAGGACCTACCTGTAGGGAGACAGACACACAGAGGAAATAGGACCCTTTGTGTGCCTGTGGTGAGAGGGGTTCCATCAGTGTTTAAAGTGAAATAGTAAAGTCAGATAAAATAAAAAAATAAAGTAAATAAAACAAAAGTAAAATACAATAAAATAAAACAAAGTAAAATATAATAGAACAAAATAAAGCAAAATACAATAAAATAAAACAAAATAAAGTAAAATAAAATATAATAAAGTAAAATACAGTAAAAATGTCAAGTAAAATAAAACATAAAACAAACTAAATAAAATAAAACAAAAGAATGTAAAATAAAATAAAATATAAAACAAAGTAGGGAATTCCCTGGTGGTCCAGTGGTTAGGACTCGGTGCTTTCACTGTCGAGGGCCTGGGTTCAATCCATCGCCAAGGAACTAAGACCATGCAAGCCATGTGACCAGAAGAAAAAAATAACAACAAAGTAAACAAAATAAAATAAAGTAAAATATAATAAAGTAAAATAAAATATAATAAAGTAGGGAGGGACTGACCTAAGGAGCCTGGTGAGCCGTGACTTGACCAGAACTACTGTAAAATCATACTGACTGCCCTTGAGCCCGAGGTTGCAGTGACAGAAGGAGCTGACTTTCTGGGGAGCCTGTGGGGAGATAGGCCCCCTTTTATCACAGCCAGACTTGTGTCCCTACAGTGTGTTAAAGGTTCAGGGTTCATATCCTAATGACAGATTCTGGAAGTCACTGCCTGGGACCCAGGAGAGCTGGGTGTTGGGAGAACTGCCACCTGAACAGGAGGAGCCGGAGGAGGAATGAAGCCAAGCCCAGGATCTCATGGCACCCGTCACTGCAGGAGCATGTGGCGCCCAACTCTGGCCTTATCCCTTGCTGGCCTGGAGCCCAGATTCCTCGTCAGCAAAATGAGGGAAACCGTAAGGCAACTTTATCATCTCTCTGGCTCTAGGGGTCTGTGAAGTTAATTGGGGAGGTAGCTTAAGTGTTGAGAGCATCTCGTGGAAGCCCTGACACTGGTCGAGGACACAGTAGGTGCCAACATGTCAAAGAAATGCTTTGTCAGACCTCCACTCGTGCACGAAATTTAGTGTCTCCATCACCGTCCTTTCAACAAAAACATGTAACCACTCCATCTTTAAAATATGAAATTGTTAAAAATATTAGAGCACACTTTCTCTCTTGTGCTTTTCTTTTTTGCTGTCATTAAAAAACAAAATGCCTTGCAATCCCAGTGGAAGTTAGGAGGTGTGGTCAAGATGGGTGAGTGTCAAGATAGAACGAGTCCCCAGAATCCAGAAGCACGGCTAACAGATGCCACTGTTACTCCACGAAGGAGATTTTCTTGCCCATGTTTTCAACCAGGCGCAATTTCTCTGTCTCCCCACTGTTTCTCCCAGGATGATTCTGCTCATGGGTCCCAGGCTGGCAGGCGTTGGGAGACCTTTGATGTGCTCATCCAGTAACAAGACGACATCAAATGGAGCTGTTACTCTGGCAGCAGCAATTCAGATGCTGTTTCACATGCCCTTTGCTGAGAGGCTCGCAGTTTGAAGTCTCCAGGGCTGATTTAAAAGCAAGTTCCTGGGGAAAGAAGTCAGAAAGTTCTCTGAAAACAGTAGTGGAAGTTAATCTCTAATAAAACAAAACGTTACCGTTCATCTGGAAAGATTTCATATATCAATGCAGGGTCAATAAAAGAGACAATATGATTAACTGATGCTCTCTATTTTAATGTTGACTTTGAAAGAGTTCACAGAGATAAAAAGGCCAAGGGCTAACTTGAAAGCTTAGATGCTAAAGATAGATGCAACAATGCATTTACAAGGAGGAGGCACGTAATAAACGTGTTTGTAAAAATAGAGTGAATGCGTGTCAATGAATTTTAAATACCAGTGGAAGAAAAAAGAAAATTAAAGAGAAAAAAATAAATCCAAGGCCCCAATCCCAACACTGTGTAAAATTTGCTGTATTTAACATGTGTGTGGAATGGACTGAACACAGTTGACAGCTGCCTTTCATGTTTTGGTTCCTAGAGCTGCCCTTGGCACTCCCCACCCCGTGCACTGCCTGAGGCCTAGGGAACCCCAGTTGCATTTTGAACAACCCTCAAACCTTCCTCTTATAGCCCCAGATGCTGGCATGCTGGAAGTGTTCCACACATAAAAACCTGGAGATAGGTGACCCAGACCTAGCTGGGCATCTCAGTTCCATGAAGTCTTGAGACATCTAGACTCTGCCATCCCTGAGGTGTAGCCCTCATCCTCATGGTCCAAAAAGGCAGTTGGAGCACCCATCATCACATGTAGGTTCCAATTAGCAGGATAAATGGAGATTCAAAAAGAAAGCAGAAAAGACAGATTTTTAAGGAACACTCCTGGAAACTGTCACATGACACTTTTCTTCACATTTAACTTCAAAATAGAGGATCTATTCTGAGCAGTCATTTGTCAAGATAAAGTCCAGGGGTTCTGTTTCTATGGAACATCAGGAAAAGAGAAATTAAGGGCCAATCATCAGTCTCTACAGAGAAGAGAATAAGCAATGTGAAGAAGGTGCTAGGCCTATGGACAAAAATAATGAACAATATAATGGGAAAAATAATGGAAAAGAATTTTTTTGAGTTTGTGTACAAGATTCCAGGAAGGACAGAGATCCGTGAGCGGCCCCAGGACCTATGAAGCTGACCTGTTGGAAGATGCTTTTTGAGTCACAGAGGGAAGTTATTAGATATTAAGAGGCCCATGGACCCTGTTAGAAATGGTCCAGAAAAAATATGAGTGTAGGAAAAAACTTTTATCATAGTTGCTACTGGGTCTTAGAATTGTAAGAATTTTGGATTCATCTCTCTTGATATCTAATTAAAAACTCTAAGAACGCTCAAATCACGCATTCAGTCATTCCTTGGGCAGATGTTTGAGTTGTAAATACTCTGACAGTCCCTGGAAATCAGCTAATGGGACACTGTTCCCCTCGACTTGTGACTTGTTAACAGACCTTGCTAGTTAAACAGATGATCTCAACCTATTCTCCAGCCAGTAGTCAAACTGTTGTTTACAGTCGTAGCTATAACAACTGATTTTAAAGTTAAACATTCAGTTGATTTCTCTAGATACCCTCAGGTAAATAGTAAATGAATGTGTCTAGACTTACGCGTATGGACCGATTGAGTCACCAGGATGCCCCATCTCTTAACAGTACAGAGTTTACTGGAGGTTTCCGTGAGTATCTGAGTCATAGAGCTGAGTAGATGGATGTGTGGTTATCACTGGCAATTGCACTGTGCAGTGTTTTATTCATTTCAGGACTTTTAAACCGTGTATAATTTAGCTTAACGTTTCCAAACAGCTCTTGACTGCAAAGGGGCCTCTCCTCACTGAGCAGGTGTCTGCAACCACGTGCTTCGGATGTGCATACCTGATTAATACTGAACTTTGGAAAAACTTTGGAAAAGATTTCTTCTGTGTTTACTCATGAGATTTATGCAAAGCCTTTACAATCATTGTAGCTCATATCTCTGGGGATGAAAATGCACATCGACAAAACAAGTTGCTAAAGAGTGGAAATGCAGCCAGTTAAAAGGAGGCTGCCTGATTTCCACAGTGGCTGCAAACCAATGTGACCGTATTTTTTGGTTTTGTTTTGTCTGAGTTAGTTCTACTTTGAAAACATCAATTTCAGCATCTTGTAGACTTTTGAAAAAGACACGCTATATTGGTAATTTAATTTAGTAGGTTGTAAAGCTGTGTTTTAAAGTAGAATGGAGTAGAATGTAATAGATGAAAATATCATGGAATATAATGTAACCGAGTGGGGTGGAATAAAATAAAAATATAGGGAATATGGCTTCCAATAAGAGTAAGAAAATTTTTTATGAAAATATGCTGGCAATGTTCTAAGTAGCTAAGGACAAGGATGGGGGCTGGAGGGAACAATTTTATGTCATCTTGGTATTCCTGTTATATATGGTAACTTGAAGATTTTCCTTCCTTTTTTCCTTCCTTCCTTCCTTCCTTTCAGTTTTTACTTTTATTCTTTTGTTTGTTCTTTTTTTCCCTCCACCTTTATTGTACATCACGGTCAAAAAAAGATGAAAACACTCCAGTGTAGACCAAACTTCAGATGTTAGATACAGACAGAATAGGAAAATAATGATCACATTTAGAATTTTATCTTCCAATTCTAAAGAAGTTATGTAATCTATTAAAAGTAGGGACGGGGCTTCCCTGGTGGCGCAGTGGTTGAGAGTCCTCCTGCCAATGCAGGGGACACGGGTTCGTGCCCTGGTCCGGGAGGATCCCACGTGCCGCGGAGCGGCTGGGCCCGTGAGCCATGGCCACTGGGCCTGCGCGTCTGGAGCCTGTGCTCCGCAACGGGAGAGGCCACAACAGTGAGAGGCCCGCATACCGCAAAAAAAAAAAGTAGGGACGTAAAGCTTCAAGCAAAACTTCTTTCATTTAATTAAAAAAGATAAATTTATAAACCTCAAAGGTCTTGTTTACTCAGCTTTCTGTCACCTTTGCAGAAATCTAGACTTTTAAAAAATCACTTTACAGCTATATACCCCTCTCCCCAAAATAAAATAAAATTTCTTTTTCACATCTCTAAGAATGAGTATTTAAATCAAATGTACTTACTTGCAAGGTGAACTAGGTTAAGGACTAGATCTGGAAGGCAAAGACAGCACCTCCTCCATCAATTTATTAACAAATGCTTATTAAGCATCTTCGTACCAGGAAAGTGGCAGAGATCAATTAGAACAAAGGGAGGTAAAATTCCTGTCCATATGGAGCTTACCATGTAGAAGATATTCAGAGGCTGAAGTGCAGGATTTCTTTTTGAGAGTTATTTGGCTTCTTTGTGGAATACAGAGTGGAGAGAGGCAGAGGGTTTGGCCATAAGGGGGAGGAAAGACCTTGACCATAATGAAGGAGGAAACAGGGTGGGCGGGGGGTGTGGGTCTCCTTGCAGAGACCCCCTGAGTGAGAATCCTCACCCTGCCTCCTCCGGCTCTGGGTCCGCAGGGAGGGACAGAAGCTTTCTCTGTCTCAGTTTCCTCATCTGTAAAGCCGGGATGCTAGCCAAGGGACCTGCTCTTGGCTGGTTGTGAAGGATGAATCAGGTAATACATGTAAAGGGCTCACACGGTGCTTGGCACATGGCAAGGGCTCTTTTTATGAGTGGAGGGATTTGCCGGTAACATCTTCCAAATCGAGTGTCAACTGTGCAGGACTTTCATTCCACACTATCCCGAGAGAGGAATGCAACTCAGGGAATAAACACGCAGGGAACTTTGCCATAAAGATTATACTCTGAGTAAGAAAAACCCATTAGAAAAACATCTTAAATGCCGAAAGGCCCTTTGGCAGTTTAAGGAACAGTTCTGCAAATTTAACCTGCATTTGGACTCTCTGTAAAGTAAATTGGTTTATCATGTCTTTCTTTATCTAGTGCTGGTGACTTTATTAATTGCTGATGCTGCAGCCTGGAGTATAAAATTAAACACCGTTTTGCAGAAAAAGTTTCCAGCTGATTTTTCTCTCAAATAATACAGGGTGATTTTTAAAAGATCTCAGACACACAAAGTGCTATCTCTTTTTAAGGCTTTAGGAGGGGGGTCTTCTGAACAAATGAACCAAACACAAAATAAAAGAACCTTTTTCTTTTTCCTTTTTTTTTAAAAAAACATTGTAAGCGCGCTGTACATACATGAACCCCACCAGGCTGGTGGGATATCTTTCTGATTAGATGACTGCTTCCTATTTTTGGATTCCCCCTTTCACTGGATCCATTTTTATTTCTTAAAAGAGAAAAAGTGCTAGCTGCCTGCTAGGCCATAGCATTCTGGTTTGAACAGAGACATCTGGAATCTAGGCCAGGCAGGAAAGGCTTCTTTCATCCCTGCAGCCGTTCACCGTAGGAGGCGTTTGCTGTCACCACTGCAGCTCCCCCTGAAGCCAGCTCTGCGGTGCGTGGCTCTGGCCCATGGCCCTGAGCCCCTGCGGGGCTGCGATATCTCATTAGCTGTGCATGCGGTTTTCTGAACCGCCCTGAATGTGATCCCGCATGAGCCCTCCTGGCCTTGCTTTTTAATTCTTACAGGAAGCTAAAGGTGAGGCTTTCACAAATCCTGGAGGGCTCGGGATGGGGTGGGAGCAAGATGAGGAAATGCAGGTAAGGGGAAAAGATGAGTGAGTCAGACAGAGAAAGGCAAAGGCTCCTGCTTCTCCTACAGACTTTGAAAGTAACTCTGTGAGCTTATATTTTGGGAACTTAGGAACAAAAGGGAGAGGACAAACTTTTACAAATGGAAGGAGTAAAAATGCAGCTTTACCACGAAATCCAGGTGGTGAACTCCCCATCACCTGATTGAGAGTAACCTCCCCAGGAAAGGTCTCTGTGGAGCAGGGAATGATGTTGTTTACTAGAAAATACCTAACAGGACTCCCCTGGTGGTGCAGTGGTTAAGAATCTGCCTGCCAATGCAGGGGACATGGGTTCGAGCCCTGGTCCAGGAAGATCCCACATGCCGCAGAGCAGCTAAGCCTGTATGCCACAGCTACTGAGCCTGAGCTCTGGAGCCCGCGAGCCACAGCTCCTGAAGCCCGGGCACCTAGAGCCTGTGCTCTGCAACAAGAGAAGCCACCACAATGCGAAGCCCGCGCACAGCAACAAAGACCCAACGCAGCCAAAAATAAACAAATAAAATAAATAAATTAAAAAAAAAAGAAAAGAAAATACCAGCAAAACGCACTGCAGGGAGTCCTTCACTTCTTGTGGTTGTATCTGCTGGTACAGGTAGTGTCCACAGGGGATGCTGCAGGAGAGGCTCCCTTCACACCACCCCTGAAGCTGCCTCTAGATCCCTGCAGACCCCAGCCATCACTCCTTGACCTCGTCTTTGTTCCTGAGCCCCTAGAATCTCTTTGCCCCGGGATCTCGTCTCTGCTTCTCCATAGATTTCTCCGCCAATTGTGGCCGGGTTTACTAACTCTGTTTTGGATGGTTCTGCTGGGGGATGGAGAGTCAGAGGACACAAGGCAACATCTTACAGGGTGGCCACTGGCATCCTAGCTCCTGTAAGGTTTTTTTTCTAAAAATAAGTTCCTTCTCTTTACCAGTCTTGAGTTTTATTGCAAAAGCACCCAAAACATTAGCCTGGCTTAGCCTGGCCAAGCACCAAGAAGGGATGTGGTATTGCCAGGCCCCCGGAAGGGTGCTGAGGCAGAGGTGGTTAGACAGCTCCACTGCATCACAATAAATAGCTTGCAGATTTCATTCTGGGGTGTCCTACCCTGATGCCCACATTAACCTACATTTATTAGCCTAACTCATTTGTTTTTTACTCTGAATTAATGAAAAGACTGTAAGTATCTCAGGCACTATTGTTACCAAGTCCAAGCTCACTCTGCTCGCTACACGACAGCACAATAAATCAGGAGATGAGCTGTTGAGGCAAGGAAGACCACTTTATTTGGAAAGCAAGCCGGCAGACCAAGAAGATGGCAGACTACTGACTCCAAAAAAACATCTTATCGGGGTCTGCATGCCAGTTTCTTTTATAGAATCAGAGAGCGAAGTATAGTAAATAGGCAGAATAGAGAGGGGGAGGTGGGGAGGAAGTAAGGTAAGAAGGGCCATCAGTCTTGCAAAACATCTCCTGGAATGGCCAACCTCGGGGAGGGGATGTATTAATTTCTTCTTTCTTGCTGCCATCCACAGGTGGGCGGGGTTTCCTGAGGCAGGCCATTATGTATGATTATAATAACAAAAGTAATGAAAAGCAAAGGTTAAAGTCAAAGAATCAGA